AAATCATAAAATGTATACTAAATAAAAGTAGTAAAATTGCTTTCATTTGCTGATTCTTACTATGGGATAAGTAGTCGTTTAATCATTTGGAGTAAATCTGAGCAGCAGATATTAGTATTATCATTTTACAAATAAGGAAATCAACTATTGCAAAGTTAAGTAATTGTAAAAGTCACATGAAAATAATTTGAAGACCTGTGATTCAAAGCAAGGTCTTCTGACATCAATATGTGGGTTCAACTGCTAAACTATATGGATGTCTGGGTCTATTGTTATTCTTCCTTTGTTGTAGTTTTTTTTGTTGTTGATCTATATAGGTGTAACTTTGGGGTGGGCACATGTGATAATTTGATACATTTATATAATCAAATCAGGGTAATTGGGATATTCATCACTTAAGATATTTATCATTTCTTTACACTAGGAACATTCTAATTATTCTCTTCTGGCTATTTTGAAATGTAAACTTAATTAATGTTAACTCTAGTAACCCTACTGATTTATCAAACACCAGATCTCATTTCTTTTATGTTACTATGTATTTGTACATACCACTTTTAATTTCAGCAATTAATAAAAAAGATATTTACTTAGTAGAGTGAATTATTTGCCAATTTATAAAGCATGTATATTCTTTGAATTTTTAAATAAATCAGTCAAATGTGAAAAGCTACCAAGTTATTTTAGGATAGTCAAATCATTTCATTACTGAGTGTTTCTTACTTAAAGTCAAATATTGGATTTCATCAAATACTTAGGAGGAAAATAAAGACAACCAGTGATTGTCATCTTCATCAGGTGTATCCAACTGGCTATAAAATATTTTTTTCCTCACAATTCCTCATACATTTTTCTGGAAGTAATTATATTGACAAGTCAGGCCCTTGTCTCTATTAGAAGCTACAAAATGCACCATAAAATTAAGGATAAGGTTGAATATCTTTTTTTGGCCAACTTATTGACTGTATGTATATATATATATATATGACTTTTCAAATAACATTGAATCCATTTTTCACTATATGTTGTTTTCAAATTACAATAATAGACAGTTGAAGAGATTTTAAAAATTTATTATCCCCAAATCATTTATAATTTTTTTCCAGGAATAGAGTATCTCCAATACTAGTACAGAGCATAATTGTATAAATATTCAATTAAATCTATGAACAGAATCCTATAAGGAAAATAAAGAAGACATTAATTTTGAATCTAAGTGCAGAGTAACCATTTAATAAATTCATGTTGAACTGAATTGAAATAAAACATAGATGCTATTAAATAAGACATACTATGTAGTTATATTCTTAAGTCTGCATTTTTAAGAAGAAATGTTCAATAGAAAATGTCAATACATCTTTCTTTATAACCAGGCTGAAAAACTGATCTACTTTGCATGCTGGTTTTTCATATAACCTATTTTTGGTGATCCAATTTTGTAACTGGAATTTGCAAAATGTGGTCAATTCTTAAACTCGAAATCAAAATGTTCTATGTAATAAGCAAAATTCTTCTTCTAGGGCATAATCATTATCAAAGCAGCAGCAAAAAAAGAAGTATATTTTTAATCAAAGTAATAGCACAATACCATTTATTACATACATATGGAGAATAGTGGACTGAGAGAAGTTGGATAGTTCTGATATACAGGAAAAATGTTTGTCCCCACAAATAGAAAATTAGTAATTTTAAAGCCTTTTTTTTACTTAGTAGTGATGCTGTTAAATTATTAGATTAATGGTTTTAATATTCGTCTAATTTTATATGTATCATATTGATCATCTTTTTTGAAAAGCCAAATGTAACTAGTTATTTGGATTTACAAGACATCAAAGATAATAGTTATTTCCAATTGAAATTATTTAACATCTGTGCCTTCATCATAACAACTGTCATGCTATCAGGATGTGAGTTCTAATACATTACAACAAAGGAAAACACACAGAAAATCATGACCTACTACTTTTTTTCATTTCTATAAGATCAAGTTCAAAACTTTGAGTTGAGCATTTAAGTAAATCTTGTCCTCTCCTTATATTTTTAAATATTAACTCCTGATACATACATACATCAAGTATTTGCTCTAGAACTCATCTTCTCTTTGCTACATATCTCCAGTGTTTTCTTACCTCTACATTATAAAAACCCCCATTTTTCACTTGCCTCCCTTCTCTTTCTTTTCTACTTTCATAAATCCTATGTCTCTTAAAAGCAAATTTATGAAAACATCCTCTACCAAGTCACACCCACATAATTCAACTCCAAAATAGGACAATATATTTACAGCAAAAATAACCAATATCGGATTAATATACAGTAAGTTTTCACTTAACATCATTGATAGGTTGTTGAAAACTGCAACTTTAAGTGAAAGGACATACAACAGGTCTGCAAATAAGGTTGTTTCCTTCAACATTGTTTCATTATAATATTGTAGAGAAAAGAAAAAATGTTTTGTTATACATAGTTTTGCTTATAGTTGCTGTTTTCCAAGAGTCTATCAATGGCATTGAGGACTTATTACTGAGAATGTGTAAAAAATTGCCATAAATCACTCTAAAAAGATAAATGTGTTTGTTTTAGATTCCTCAGAAGAAGATGTTTAGAAAAGAATATAAGCAGTGTATTTAGGAGATAAGCCCAGGAAATACTTGTTGAGAATATTTTGTCAAACTATTTTTCAAATTGGCCATTGAACTTTAGGTTTCTGTGGAACTCTGGTTAACACTGTAAAACACATACCAGAGTTGTCAAACACAATGGGAGAGAGAGCAGAGGTATTTGTATTCCTACTGGTTGTTAGTTGAATACTGTCTCTGCAAGGGACATTAATTCCTTGGAACTTGGGCTACCATGTACACAAACAGAGCAGGCTCCAGCAGCTGAAGAAAGCCTTCAAACAGGGGGAAAGGAGCAGGCAATCATGATTTGTTTCAGTGTACACCAAAATGATAAAGGCAGGAAGTTCTGGGCAGGGCACAAATAGAAAAATAGGTAAAATAAGTAAACATGTATCTCACAGAAAAGGAAACAAAAATTTCTAATAAACTTATATTCCTAACTAATCACGGAAATGATTATTGCTATTTTATATTTACTAAAATTGGCAAAAATGAGAAAAGCTAACAAAGCCAAGGGTTAGGAAGGACATGGAAAAAGTTCTTATGTGCTTATAGTTTCATTATAAGTAGATAGAACTACTTTGAATGAAATTTGGCTACATCTAGTAAACATAGACCTGCATTTTCTATGACCAGTGATGTCACTTCTAAGTATATGACTTAAGTAATCTTTTATAAATGTACATTATATGTTTAAAAATATTCATAGATGCCAGTATTTGTAATAGCAAAACAAAAAACTAGAAACAAGTATAATGCTCATTAGAAGGAAAATGGTAAATTGTATATTCATACAATGGAATACTATGTTATGGCCAATCATTCACATCAAAATGTATAATACTAATACTAATTTTTATAGACTTGGGAAAATGTACATAGTATTATTTGATTTATATGATGTTCAAAAGCATTCAAACTCATACAATATGTTTTGTTTTAAGTAATTAAATATTGGTAGTAAAGCTGTTTAAAAACAGAATATTAAATATGATTCAGGAATTTGTGGGGCAAATAGGGAGATGTAGACAGGGAAGGACACCCAGAGTGTTTTAAAGATACTGATTCTATTGCTTCATTCTATTGTGGGTACGTATATTATTTTATACATGTATGTATATACACACATACACACACGTGTGTGTGTGTGTTTTATATATACATATAACAAAGTATTGGACATAGGAAGAGAAACCACAGAACAAAACTCAGATATAATGTCCCAGGAGCAGGAAGAGAAGCAGGAAAACTGTTGTAGTAGAAGCAAAGAAGGAGAGAACAAGCAGTGATGGCAACTGTTGCTAGGCATTGTGGGATCTGAAATAAAATGAGGCTAATGGGACTGGAACTTAGGAGGTCAGTGGAGGCCTTAGTGAGTGCATTTTCAGTGAGAGAGTTGGGGTAGATGCCAGAAAACAATGGCTTCAGTAGTAATAAAAAGCAATGAGTATAGGTAGCTTTTAAAATAGTTTAGGCAGTAACTGCAAGGAAGAAGATAGGCTGTAATTTGAGGAGAAGGCAAATTTGAAGGCTATTTAAGAGTATCTTATAAAAGAACATAATCCGGAGTAGACCATACATAAAGGCATTAAAATGTTTAAACAGAAATTTATTTATAAGAAAAACAATATTCTTCCAAAAACAAGTCTCCTGAAAAATACTTGAATTAAATCTTTTTACATTTCAAATAATTATTTCATCTAATTTCTGAAACTCCCTAAATGTTATTTTCCTAAGTTTTTGATGCGGTTTATAGCCTTTATGATTGTTTAATTATCTTTTCAATGTCCTTTCTCATTTTTAATAAATATGAATTAGACAAATTTGAATCATGATTTACATACATGTTGAACAGGCATTAAAATAAATTATTAGTTAAGGTTACAACATATTACTTCCCTTTTCATACTGGGCAACTTTAGTCATCACAGTAACAAACTGTAGACAAATTTTGATGATAAAGTGAAACAGTAACGGGATACTCTTGCCTGACTATATATGTGAATATTCTGTTGAAAAAAGGAACATTATTAGTTTTAAAATTACAAACAATCCAAACAACTTGAGATCTCCATGAAAAATGTCTTGGCTGGTATGCATAAAGATAGGCCAGCAATAAGAGATGATGTCGCTGATTTTAGCTGTGGCATAAATATTAATATAGGAGAGTAGCATGGAGGTGGATAAATGCTATTTACTTTAATAACAGGCAAAATTTTCAAACTGTAACAACATGCTCAATAAATTCTTTCATTACTGTAATACCAAAAGAGAGTTGAAAAATGTATTACGTTTCTATTTTTTCTCCTCAGAGATATATGTTTATTCTGTTCCTATAGCAACATCAATGCAGTGACTAAAACTTTAACTCCTTTTTAGACTTCCTGATGGCTTCACACAGCTCCTAAACCTGACCCAGCTCTACCTGAATGACGCCTTTCTTGAATTTCTTCCAGCCAATTTTGGAAGGTAAGAATAAGAAATTTAAATTATGCAATTATATTTCACCTTAGATAAGTGCTGTACCAGCACCAGTTGATGAGACTTCAAAAGTGACAGCTGTGATTAAAGATAGGCCTCATTATTATTCAATAAATGAAACTGTTAATTAATGAAACTTTTGCAAAAAGCGAAGTAAAATTAGGTCTTTAAATGACATTAATAGTCAAATAAACTCTAGATGAATTAAAGAGTTGAATATTAAAAAAATAAAGCCAGAAATGATCCGGGGAAAAAAAGAGATGAATATTTATGACTCTGGTTGAGAAATACCTTTATAGGCAGAGAGGCAAAGAAAAATATCATAAATGGATACATATGGTGACCTAAATACTTTTAACATAAAATATCAGATAATCAAAAAATTAAGGTAAAACAATAAACTGGGAAAATAGTTCAATTATATATGAAAAACAAATTATTTACATATTTAACACATAAAGAATTCTTACATATAAGTATGAAAACAAAGATTTTAGAGGAAAAATGGTTGAATTACAACAAAAAATTATTTTATAATAACACATATAAATGGCTATTGAACACATGGAAAATGTCTATTTTCACAAATAATAAATATAATACAAGTTAAAACAGCAGTAGAAGACCTTTATGTTCTAACATATTGCAAAAACTGTTAGATTACAAAACAGAGATAATCTCATGCTCTCTGATAGGATTGCAGAATGTTATGACCTTCATGCATGGCAGTATGCTTTTAGAACCTTTGAAAATATTTGCAACTATTGCCTTTGTAAACCATTTCTAGACATGACTCTTACGATTATCAGATACCCCACTAGGATTTATGGACAAGTTTATTGTTAATTACAATGTGAAAAAAGTGGAATCACACATCTGAGGACACTGGTTAAATATATTATGGTTCATACATATTATAATACCATGTAGTAATTAATAATATTATCTTAGGTGTTTTTTAAAATTCTTAAGATATTTCCCATATGAATATGAATCTGTATGAAATAAAAGACTGGTACCTTAGAAGTAAAATTATGGATAGTTTTTATTGTCATCTTGACATGTTTTTTAATGCAAAGAATATTTTAAAAGCTATGACATTTTTAAGTTTATTGTCAATGCATTTATGTAAATGATCATCTTTGAAACTGTTCAAATAATCGACTAGGTATAACTTGACACCAATCTGTTAACTGAAGCTCGTACAGGACATTGAGAACTCAGTTGAATAATGTCACTTAACATGGGACAGCCTCCATTTACACACTGAGAGCACATCAACATTTGCCAGATTCCCTTACTTTTGCAGATCACACCATCACAACATTTATAAACAGCTTATACTTGGGCAGTTTTAAAATTCACAGAGCGTCCAAAGAGCATTCCCTGGCTTCTAAATGAATTGGCATTTCATCATTCATCCATAGAAACTAGCATGGCCCCTCTTGTACTAACCACAGCATATAGTATACTTTGGATTTATCAAGTCAGAAAACATTTAATTATTATCTTAAGGTATATTTTTTTCTTGAACTTTTGTCAGTTCTCTTTAAGTAGTCCTACTGCGAGGAAAAGATTTGTGCAAGTGAAAAACATAATACTAATAACAAAACCACTCGGAAATAGAATTTAATTTTGCATAAATTGCCTACAAAAATATGCTCTATTTTATATTATAATCTAAAAAGGTCTTTAACTTCAACTGGATAGTTTAACAAGAGGACAGTTAAAATTCCTTTTAAAACCTAAGATTCTATGTTCCTAAAAGCCAAAATCAGTACAAAATATCATACTATTACAATTGATGACAAGATTTGAGACAGACAAATGTTTAAGAAGTCTCCTTTACTAGCAATATACCCATGCTGTGAAGAACTGAATTGCTTTATTTTCTATACAGATTAATTGTTATAAGATCAAAATTAAAAGCTTGATAGGAGGCAAAAAAAGAGTGGAGGGAGAGAGACCTACAGGAAAACCTAAAAGCACAGTGAATTTAAGAGATGGTAGATTAAAAAACTTCAAATAGTAAAATATTTTCCAAAACATTAAGAATTCAGAGAATCCACTTAATATCTGTTCTAAAGTAGCCTCATTTGGGTGCATTTTAACATTCAATATGGACATAAGTAACAATAGTGTGTTCTAGGCTGCAAGACTTAACAAGTAATTAAGATGAAATGCATTCCTAATCACAAATGTTACTCAAGCAACAGAAACTCTGAATACCTCTCATTCTCTTCACGTGATTTCCCCCACCCCAGCCTTGTCACAGGACAGTTGATATGACAGATTTTTAAATGCATAACGTTTTCATAAATGTTAAAATATGTACCTTAGAGTCAATGAAATATGGTGTATTGCAGCACTTCTCCCATTGTGTAATTAGTAACAATTGCCAATTCTTATTAAAACTTATACCAGAAATTATGCTTTAATTTGATACTGTTGTCATACACTTATAGATGGGGAAACTGAATTAAGAGGGGTTAATTTGCCCAGTGTCACAGTAGCAGAATATGAGAGTCTGGATTTCACACAGACTTACCTTCCTACAAAGTCCCACTTTTTTACCTCTATGCCATAGTATTTGCTTTTTAGTTCATTTATAGTCTCTTGAGGGAAATTATTGCCATATTCCAGTGAACACAGCATATGGCCTTTAGTATCTATTTCAGTTATCTATTGAATGCATGAAAATAAACAACAAATATATTTTTATAAAACGTATGAAATTTAGAATGCTGGAATCTAAAGATTCCTTTAAAATATCTCAGTTAATTTTAGGAAAATAATATTTCTCATTGCTCAATGTTGATATAACTATACTCATAATCAATATGTATATTTATTTAAAATCTATTACCATAGTAAAAAAAAACTCTGGATATAGGTGTTTGGATAGTGATAATGATAGTTTACCATAGTAAAATTTATTTCAGTTTTAATTTTGTGTTATTATGGGTACATATAGTTGTACATATTTATGAGTTACATGTGATAGTTTAGTGCTAACATACGATGTGTAATGATCAAATCAATGTAATTGGGGTATCCATCACTTCAAGCTTTTATCATTTCTTTGTGCTACAAATATTCCAATTCTGTTTTTTAGTTATTTTTAAATATACATTATTGTTAACCATAGTCACCCTATAGTGCTACCAAATACTAGATTTATTCTATAATTTTTTAGACAGAAATACTAAGGAAAATTTTAAAATTCATTTCTGTAGACTTGTCAAATTGCGGATCTTGGAGTTAAGAGAAAATCACTTGAAAACTCTACCAAAGTAAGTGACTGTGTATTTTCTGAATTTTGAACTGTGATTTTTTTTTTTTTTGCTAGTAAGAAAAATTACTACTTCTATTTTGTCTGTGTTTTGTCACTTCGAGTTAATTTGTCTACTCATTTTCCTAAAGGCCAAAACATATAGTATACTGTAAAAGATTCATAGTACATGAGAATGTATCCTGTTTTATTAAACTGTAATTACAGGTCAAGGTAGAAAGAGTTCACTTAAGTTTATTCTCATGGCTGAAGATACATTCCAGAAAATTATTGCACTAAAACATATGAAACTGTCATTCTTATAGTTAAAAATGATAGTGTCATAAGGTTCAACTTAATAGAATGCTTAATTCCTTAAGTTCATTTATGGATTGTAGTGTATATTTCAGTTTTTAAATCAAGAATATGCCAGAAATTTTTAGGAAAAAAGATTAAGATTTTTCAAGAGATCATAAAGTGGTTTAGCTAAAAGTTACATATTCTTGTAAATTGTTCCTTTTTACTAGTCTATTTAAAATTTGGCTTATATAAAAATATAGGATATTTTAAAGTAAAAACTAATCCCTAAAATTTTATGCAATGTTTACCATAAGAAAATGCTTTGTTTCACCCAGCTTTGCCTTATTCATGTGTAACAATCGAATTTTGTGTTGTGCAGAAACAATTATTTTTGAAAGTCAAAATGGGTTCTTCACTTGATTAAATCAGTATGACTTGTATATATTATGATGAAAATATTTAAAGTACTGTGTTGCAATTATCACCTTTCTGCAGTATTATAGAAAAATATTGAGTACAGTGACTAATTTTTTAAACATTTCAATAGGACTTAGATTCATCTGCTGAACCAAAATGTAACCTTATTTTTTACTTATTAAATCCTTTTTCTAAGCAAACCAGATCGACTAATATATCAACAGTATACCTTCGAGTGCATTTTATGTATGAGATTATATATTAAAATTGTGTCATTGTGGTATAATGACACAATTATTAAAATAACTTTCAGTAATGATATGGATTTTATTTGGATATATGCATAAAAATAAAACACCTACTTAATCCTCCATAAGAGAAGAAAAAGAGTGAGCATAGAAATGAGGAAATGTCTGCATATTTCACCATCTTGCACTTTTGAATAATGCCTTTCTCTAAGCTAAAGCATTAGGTACGGGCCTAACCTAAGGGACCCCCTCCCAAATTGGGAGTGTAAACAGGTGGAAATATGATTGAGGGTGTTTTGTTCAAGTGGAAATTTCCTGCAAAGGCATCTAGTGCCACTGTGTCCATCCCTCATGCTTTTGTCTGCCACATTTAAAGTAAGTGGAAACATGACTAACTGGAAGCTAAACCAAGATAGAAAAGCAGTTGTTCCCTTCATCTAAATATATACATTTAGGTCAAGGAGAAAATATTGGGTATGCAGAGGAGAATCCTTTTCCCTCTGTTCTCAAATAATGGCTTTGATTTGAAGTATAAAATAAACCTGACATAGGTTGCTAGGTTTTAAAATATATTTTAAGTGTAAATCTTAAATATAAATTAAAACCTAATATGGATTGATAACATGGACTTTATATGAGGTAGCTGTGTGAATAAGTCAGAGTAATGAGGAACAATAATAACAATAATTGGTGCTGGGGTATTGTGCAGGCTTCGAGATTGTGGTCCAGTATTAAACAGAATTAAATAAGTAGAATAATATGTATAAACCATTTTTGGACACAGAAAAATGTTGTAAAGATATATTGGAACTGATGCTGGGTCTCTTTGATAGACTCATACATATAACTTATATAGCTGTTACAGCTTTTACATTTTAAGAAATATTTTCAAAATTACTTGCAATCTAGTGTGTTCATTTTATAACTTACAGACAAAAATCTAAAGAACCAAATTCAGACATAAAATACAGATAACTTTAGTTTGGGGTCTATAGAATGAGAATTACAGAAAGAAATTCTTCTTTGAATAAAAATAAACTTTGTTTTTACTATGTATTATACCTTTTGATCACCAGTCTATATCTATAACTTAAAGCTATGTGAGAATATTATAGTATCCTTTCTTTTGCACTCCCAATAAAAATAGAGGTAAAAACATAGTTTTAGGAAAAATAATTTTAGTTTTACAATAACTATTCTGAGAAGATATAACTCCTGAATTCCATAGGGATACAAACAAGATGTTGGATTGTTAGTTATTTTCTCTTCTTTTCATCTTTTGTCTTAAGTCTATATGCCTAGCAATTTGTGACAAATGTGAATGTGTATAAGAATTATATTACATACCTTAAGATGTATATCCTTTAAGCAAACTGATAAAGACATTTTGGTGTATGCAAATTCTAGGATCATTTTTTTTCAGTTAGAAAAAGAAATTCGTATTATAAGTTTCCTTAAAATGTTTATGATCATTCCTCTAAACATATCAAGGAATCATACAATTAAGTTCTTTGGATATGCATTTCCCTAAAATTCATTGAAGCAGTCAAGTCTTTATTATTTGTAATAATAGGAGACAGTGAATATCTGAAAATAACTAGATTGCCAAAAGGAAAAATTTTTAGATTCTATCATATGGTTTTTCCTTATAGAAGAATTATCTTCTTAATTATGTTTTTTGAGGGATAGTCAGAAAATGTGGAGATGGTAGAGAGAATTCAAATGAATGTTGGGTGTCAAGGGAAAACCAATCCTTTGTTTGCTTATGTATTCCTTTCTTCATTTGTTTGTGTAAAAGTATCCCAGGGTCAGGAATCCAAGAGAGGCTGGATTCTCAGTGATGCTGTCTCAGGATGTCTCATGATGCTTGATGGACTAGGGCTTGCCTCAAATCTCACTCAAGCAGTGGTTGCCAAATGGCTTTCTCACTGGCGATATGCTGGAGGCTTTCCACTTTTTTCCTATGGAAGCTCACACGTGCCTCTCTATAAGGTTACTTTCAATGCGGCTGCTTCCTTCCTTCTGAGCAAGTGATTTGAGAGACAGAGTATGTGTCTAATACAGAAGTCTTGGTCTTTTTATAATCTAATCTCAGAAGTGATAAACTATGATGTCTACCATATGCCATTGATCACAGAGACCAAATCTGGACCATTTCTTCCAAAGTATGGAAGAAAACAACATAAGATTATGAATACCCGGAGACAGGGATTAATGGAGTCCATTGTAGAGGATACCACAGGTCTGGTTCTCAGCATTGCTGGTCTAGAAATTCAATGCTGACATTCACTAGATGCATCAGATGCAGGAGACTAACTTACACAAATCAAACACACAGGGGATTTTATCTTAGCACAACACACTCTGTTTCCCAGAACTCCAGCTATACTAGTGTTCCTCTTGAACAAAACATGTGTGTTCCCATTTTGGAGGCTTTACACTGTCAAGAATTTTCTTTCCACACATCTTCGCCTGATTAGTTCTTCCTTATGATTCATGTCTCTCTTCAGATACTGCTTCCTCAGGGTCCTTCCCCCATTATATAAAATAGTCTCCCTTCTTCTTTATACCATTTCACTGTTATGTTTGATTTTCATCATAGCACTTACCACTCTCTGTATGATTTTGACTCTTTGTTTACTTGGAGATTATCTCCTCAAGAGAGTAGAAGCTCTATTAATGAGAGGTTATTTCCACTTGGTTACTGCAGACTCTCCAGTGCCTTAAACATGGTAGACATACCAAACCAGAATGCTGACCTATGGATTCTCAATGACAAGTGGCTCTCATGTGACCTTGATATTTTGCATCACTTGATTATTTTTCTCCACAGAAAATTATATGGGAAGCCAAACATTATAATCAGATTAGTCTTTGGAGAACAGCATAAAGTCAGACAAGGACAAATGATTGGGCTTTCTCAATAGCTGATAGCCCAGACTTGGATTTTATAAACCTACACATTTTTTCTCCCTTTCCGGGTGGTTTCAATTTAGGCGTAATAGTTCAGACATGACAGGGAGAAAAATAACTTCATATTAAGAAAATATTTATGACAACTAAATAAAATATAAAAAAAGTATCTTATTTGCTTATTATTAAAATGTGTCACATTTCATCAAGAAACAAAATATATATCAAGATAAAAATGAAAGAATAAGAACATTTTTTTAAATGAAATTTAGAAATGTTTTTCACAGAAGTAACATAACATCATATAAATGGTTGGTAATAATGGTGGGTTTTACCTTTAAATAAAACTGTTCCGTAGGTGTGGGAAAATTTTTTCTAATACCCTAAAATTAAAACAAGGCCTCATTCATTAATAATTTATTAAGGCCGTGACTAACCTTGCTTCAACTAGAGCTAAAATATATTATGTAAATGCATGTGTTAATTATGAAACTATGAAGTAATATGAAGAAAAGGAAACATAAATTAAGGCAACATGAATATTCATGTCTCTTGATGCACAAGGCATGAAGCATGATACCTCACTTTGGTGTCATAAACTGACTAAGAGAGGAATGTTTCAAATATACTTCAACAGAATTACTGGGACAATATCAATAAATACAGTAAAACCTGATGAACGTATTCAAAATTGGGAAAGTGGATAGATTCGGTAGATGAGAAATGCTAAGAATTGTTGGTAGAAGTTCAAAGTAGAGACATAAATCTGAAGTAGTGACAATATCTTTTGGGTCATTGACCCTTCAAGAATCTGAAAAATAGCTATGGAATATAGAAAAGTATTAATCCAAAATTCAAGTTGTATCTGTTTTCAGTATACTAATAGCCTATTGTGAATATACACATTCTTATTTTCACCTAGACATAGAATATTTGGCTTTTTATGTAAAATAAGCAACATCAAAATACCTAGTATTGGCCAGGAGTGATGGCTGACATCTTTAATCCCAGCACTTTGGGAGACTAAGGCAGGTACATCACTTGAGGTCAGGAGTTTGAGACCAGCCTGTCCAACATGGTGAAATCCTGTCTCTACTGAAAATGCAAAAATTAGCCAGGCATGATGGCATCCGCCTATAACCCC